CATATTTTGGTCTTGCGGAGTGTTTTTTTTTTCTAAAAGTTCGTACTTGTTTTACTTTAGGTTGCTTCATGGATTAGATTTCTCATTCCAATTTTTTTGTTAAAGGAAGGAGCACGAATGTAATGTTCAATAATCATAACAAATGCGTCACAAATGTGATGTAATTATACTTTTAACAAATGAATTATTATTATTATTATTATTATTATTATTATTATTATTATTTAATTTTTTTTTTTTCGGTAAGAAAAATAAAAGGAAGTTACAGGTTTGAAAATAATTAAAACAGTTGAATGAACTAGAAAAAAGAAATAATTAAGTTATGTTGACTGCACACAAATAACCTAATGATGATTCTTATCATCCTATTGAGGTTTTTCTTGATAATGAAGTTTGTGTGGTTTGTGAATATAAAAAAAAGATGGCTTAAGAGTAAAGAAAACAAAAACAAAATCAAAGTCGAGATATGTAATAGTTACTTTCACTTCAAGACGAAACCCCGTAATATACCCACAATTAACGGCAAACGTCTCCAAGATACGACGACTTTTGACTGGTATATAGCGGTACTTCAACTATACAAGACTTCGGGAACAATTTTATTGTTTGGAACTCTCAAGACTCAATGAAAAAAATCAAAGAACACAATATGTTTTTTAAACTTTGAATATGTAATGCAAAAGTTCTTAACTTTTCAAGTTCTGAAGGTTTCATGTGTGCAGGTATTTATAAATGTAGGAACACACCTCGAAGAAGTTTAAGTTTCAAAAGAAACTTTTTGGGACGTACACGAACAAGAGCAGACATATCTAGAGGGCAAAAGAAACCTTATAGTCACCAAGGGTTGCGATCTTTCAGTGTCCGCAGCCAGCTGCGCACCCGTGCATCGGCGGGTCGTATGAGCTCATACGAACTTGGAATCGCGTTATGTTTCTTCCTACTCGTCTCAAACGAACCCTTATAGAGTTATAACATGCAAGTTGCATGATCAAGTCCAATTTGTATTATCCTAACATTCATCAAAGGCAGAATGTACGATTCTAATAATTTGAGTTACTTAACTCAACGCTTCAACCTTACATATCCCACATATACAACTTAGAGTTAATTTTTTATTCACCTTAAAATAGTTTGAGAATTTTATAAGTCTTCCACTTAAAAAAAATAGAGCCGTAAAATTGGCACAAAACTTTTTTTATTTTTTGTTTTTTTACAATCCCCCGCATGAATGATTAATGCATGTATGCAATACTTGAGAGTCCCGATGAACCGTCATTGCATCAGGATAGACAACCTGTGTCTTTTAATCTTCCTTAGAGAAATACTATTGGATACACTAGCTTCTTAGTAGCATAATGCTTTGAACTTATCGGTTGTTCACCAAGACAATGATACTCACACAACAACAACTCTAACAATTTATTGTTCTCACGTTGTGTCCATTTCAGACTTGGACCATATCTCGGTTTAGTAAGTGTTCAATTGAAGCAGCCTATTTACTTCTCACTTACAAAGAGAATATTCTGCCTGACTCCAACCTTAGAGCACCCACAATGCATTGAGTCTCTTAATAAAATATCCTATGCCACATAGGAAATAAACTTAGTCTATTAAAAAATGCCTCCCAATGCAATTAAAGGTGGACATAGTCTAGCTTATGTGGCAACAAAAAAAAGACACCAAGTCCACACTTGGGTCTATTTTAGACCCAAGTACAAACCCAAGCACTCATCATTTATTCCTCATTTAAATTTTCTTTTAATAAATGAAACATAATAGAGCATTTTTATTGGTTGGCATGTATGCTAGACCTAATATTTTATTTTTGCATTGAATAGCTTTTGAGTTTTTTTACTTGAGTTTGTCCATGTTATTTAGGACATAAGTCTATTTATATGCCACATATGTAAAATTAGACCCAATGCGTTGTGGATGCTCTTAGGTATAAGAATCATTAAAAGTCCTCGATTTAACCCACCACTTCGCAGATTTTAACACTTGAGCGGTTCTAGAATTGAGCAAAACATTTTTCAAGTATTTCACTGAACTGCCAAAACATAGTTTTCCCATTGAACCAAGGTTTCGGGATCTCCGATTCTCATGTTCGGGTTACAGCTAAGACCGTTCGTTTGTTGTGGATTTTTATTAAGCTCATTCCCCTGACCAATTTGTACAACTTATCTCGTGGGGATTCTTTGTTCAAAAAGTTGTGTTAGAAGCTCAGCTATGGCGGACGGGATTCCTAAAAACTTGCAGTCGACGTTCGACGAAGCTTGGACGACGACCAGGCCATTGGGGCACGACCCTCCTCCGGGTTTTTCTGGCCCATCGCAGACTCTGGTCACTCCCGCACCTAACTTCGAAGGTTTAGGAGCGACGACGGTGATTCCCGGAGGAGATGCCAGCTCCAGTCAGGCCCAGGAGGCTCGTGTAGCAGCAGCAGCGGCGATGCCCCCACCACCACCACCAGATCCAACACAACGGCAGGGAGGAGTGCTGGCACAAGGAGGAGTGCCACCATAGGCAGCCGTACAAACCCCCGGCCAACAAATGGTGGCAATGACTCGGGAGGAGATGCAAAGGATAGCGGCGGCCGCGGCGGCGCAGGCGGTGCAGCAAGTTGCGAGTCATACCTCTCATGCCACCACTGCGCCGACCACGGTGGCCGGAAGCCAGGATGAGGATTTGTCTAGTTATGGAGAAGGAGGAGCTGGAAGAGATCGGGCGATGGAAAGGATGGCGGAGCAGTTGCGCCAACTGCAAGATAAAGTGGAGGGGAGGCCAGAGAGGAGAGCTCGAGGACATCCCTTTTCAAGGGAGATTCTCGCTGCTCCGTTGCCAAACAATTTCAAGGAGACCAATCTGGTGTATGACGGGTCATCTGACCCATCGAGGCATATGAGGATCTTTGAAAATATGGTTGTGCTGCATGGGTACTCTGATTCTGTTTGTTGCAGGGAATTTTTATCGACCTTGCGTGGAGGAGCACTCGATTGGTTTCACCAACTTCCACCTGGGTCAATCGTGAGCTTTGAGGACTTTACTGGCAAGCTTATCAATCAATATTCGAGCGCGGTGGTGCAGGAGAAAACGTATTTGACTTTGATGGCGATGAGGCAGGGGGAGAAGGAATCATTAAGGAAGTATGTTGCTCGATATAACCAAACATGTTTAGAGGTGCACTCGGCTTCGGACGAGGTGAAGGCGGGTGGATTGATAAGGAGCCTTCGAGCAGGGCCTTGTCGAACTTCCCTCGCAAAAACCCCTGCTCGATCATATGAGGATGTGCTGAAGCGGTGCAGGAAGTATATTAACTTGGAGGAAATGGAGATGGAGTTTGCCAAGTTGGAGGGAGTGGCTCGACCAGAGCCAAAAAAGGAGAAAAGTCCGCAGAGGGGGAGATCACCGAGGAGGAATTCACCCAAACGGAGTGGGCAGAAAAGGGCATCACCCCGAAGAGGGAGTCGAGATTCGAAAAGGGAAAAGAGGGATGAGTGGCAGAGGAGGCCGATGTTGTTCGAGAGACAGAGATACCACACTTTCACGCCCTTGAGGAAAGACATGACGGAGGTTCTCGAGGCCATGGAGCAGAAGATGTCGAGTGAGGATGTGACTTGGCCGAAGACGAGGTTTACAGGCCCAATTCTACCTAGGTCGGATATTTACTGTCGCTTTCACCGAGATTATGGTCACACCACGGAGAATTGCAGACATTTGA